CCAGGTGGTGCCAGCAGTCAGTCTGTCTCTCTCCAGTAGAACTACATTAGTCATTCCCATTTTGGCCAAGTGGTAAATGGTCTGACAGCCCAGACTTCCTCCTCCAATCACCACCGCATCAGCTGACCTGAGGCAGGAGGAGGTATATGAAAAGACTAAAAAGGCTGATGCTACTCTTGACATATGAAGGTAACCAACCAGCCTGTGAGCTAGCACTAACTTATCAATTCACAAGTGCAACACAGTCCCTTTTTCTTTCCCCCTGCTTCCAATCTTTAAACTACAGCAACATAAAGACAGTATCAATAATGACCAATAACTCCTTTTTTTTTTATTAAACGAACAATAAACACTCTTGTTTTGATACCAACCTTTCCCAGTGCAAAGTATCAACAGAGCATCTATATTCTGTTCAGAACTTGTACATCACTGTTTCCATTCCTCCATGAACTAGTTTTTCTTCACAACCAGTATTAATCCACCACTTCAACCATTAGATTAATCAGCTGTTTATGTATAAAGTCACTGCATATAATCTTAAGAATATATTTCTGAAAACATTCCCACACAATCCATTCATCCATTCAAAACCCAATCTAACCTGGGTAATGGCTTAGTGGGTCCTGAGGAGGCTCCATCCTCCTGTTTGAGTGTCTTCTCGTAGGGAACACTCTTTTCCTTGGTGGGCTTCGAGCTGTAGGACCGAGTGCTTGTCCGGCACAGCGGAGAAAGAGGAGGCCTCACTGCTGAGAACACTCGCCAAACTGCGCTCCCAAGGAAGGCCATGACCCCTGTGTGCAGTAAGACAACACAAAGGGACATAGTGATATGTCAGCTGTTTTAAGTTGTAACACTCAAGGTTTCAGAACAAAGTCATTATCTACAAAAACTCTTTTCTGAACTCTTTTCTGCTTGTTCTGGCTAGGATTTGTTTTGGGTTTTTTTGCAACATTTTGTACCCAGTAAAAACCATAATAACTGAAAAATAAATGTAAATAACTTTATTATACTCAGGGGGATTTACGCAAATTTGCGCAGGGTTAGTAAATCTAGTGGGCAAGACTTGACGGATCGAGTATATAATGCTGGCACCTTGCTTTAGTTCTATGGGGCGCCGTTTGTAAAGTGAAACATGCTGAAATTAAGGGTAACATTTTTCCACATTTAGCTCAAAACCTTACAAAAACATGTTTTTTCGAGTAATTTTTTACAACATTTAGTAAAATATTTGTAACTTTTCATCAAATGTTAAATGTTAAATCTAAATATTATATTTAAATCTAAATGGTAAATCTAAATGTTAAATGTTAAATCTAAATGTTACAGAAAACTAAATATTTAGGCTAATATGCAAATTTTTTGTACGGATCAACGGAAATACCAAAATAAAAGCTTCCCGAAAAACCTCCGGTGCAAAATTGTGTCTGCTCTCCCCCTCACTTCTCCCCGCCATGTGCTGCTTCACTTCTTGCCTACGAGCATGTCCAGCGATTTTGCTGGACATGTGCTGCAGCGATTGTGAAGTGGAGACTGCAGCTGCTAAGAGTGCACTACTGCTGAACCTTTGGATGACCGACAAAACGGATCTTCCGATGTTTTCAGCTAAATCGCCGGACGTGCTTTCTCATGGTCCGCGCCGGGTTATGGCTGAATTCCAGTGGAATGACGGTCCCGCCATAATAGACGTTCCAGCCATGTGTTCCAGCCCTAAACCTAACCTTATCCCTAACCATAACCTTATTCCTAACCTTTACTAGCAGTTAAATGACGTAAAATAGTGTTTTCCAAAGCGATCGTGTGTAGATTGAGTCCAAACGGTTCTCATGTGCTCTCCTTTTTCCGATGCTGTCATTCAACGTGTTGGGTACCCGAAAGCATAAAATGTTGACGACTGTTGATAATTATTATGCTTAGGGAGTGAGAACGTATCTGACCACTACCGGCACACTTTTGCACCGGAGGTTTTCGGAAAGCTTCTATTTTGGTATTTCCGCTGATCCGTGCAATAAATTTGCATGTTAGCCGAAACATTTAGATTTAACATTTAGATTTAACATTTAGGATTTAGATTTAAATATAATATATAGATTTAACATTTAGATTTAGATTTAAATATAACATTTAGATTTAACATTTAAAATTCTGTTTTAAATATGAAAAGTTACAAATATTTTACTAAATGTTGTAAAAAAGGACTTGTTTTGAGCTAAATGTGGAAAAATGTTGCCATTAATTTCAGCATGTTTCACTTTACAAACGGCGCCCCATATAGTTCAGCCATGTGCAAACACCAAAAGTTTGACCAGACAAGGATTTTGGAAAAAACACTTTGGGCACCTGGGCGCAAAAACGGCAGCACATTCACCACTAAATAATCCCGCACTTAATGCGTACTACAAAGCTTTTAGCGGGTAAATGTGCAATAACGTACAGAACGCGATGCACAGAATGCGCTCGCCTGGAAACGATAAGTCTCAAAATAAAAGAAACTACATAAGCAGTTGCAGGTAGTAACGTGGCGTGAAGTTCTGCGATCTCTAACAACGGAGCATGCAAATTACATAATGCAACAACTTTTGGAAGTACATTCATGTTGCACTTACGCTCGATTCCGCTTGTCCCAGATTACCCGGAAACACACTCGAGGAAAGAGCTAAGTAGTGAGAGGAGCTGCTTGCAGAATTAAGGGAGTGGATTTATGGGGAGAAACGGTCAAGTAGTTCCGCAGACCAACGAGCGACAGAACTGCTGTCGTGGCCCACAAGACACAGCTCAGTAGTTGTCAGATAAATGTGAGCTGCAGCGGTGCTAGACTGCAGTTGTAGTTCCTACCTTCACCCCTCCCCACTAGTAAGTGGTGGAATTGAGCAACAACACATTAGTGATGGGATTTCCGGCTCTTTTTAGAGAACCGGCTCTTTCGGCTCGGCTCACTA